AATAAACGGCATTGAAGCTGAACAAAGGGCTTCTAGAAATATTAAAACAATGTTATTTAACGAAGGACATAATTTAACTGACTTTCAGGGGTTATTAGATATACAAGATGAAATTTTTACTGAACAAGTTAATGATATAAATTTTGCAGAACATATTAACATAGGAGAACAGAATTATGCTAATGGAAAAACTGTTCATAAAGTGTTAGACTTACCCGTTCCATTAAACAGTGATTCAACTTCAAACATTAAAGTTCAATCGTAAGAAGGCCTCTTTTTAAAAAATATAGATGTTTTTATTTGGGATGAAGCACCAATGGCTCTAAAATATGCTTTAGAAATTGAGCCTCCCAATTCAAGAACTCGCCCGACGCTTGGATGAACACTCTAACGCCAGTCAAACGTTAAGAAAAGTCACAAAAATTAAAATTTGAAATTTTGATTTTTCAGAAGCACTACCTTGTAGGAAATTGAATAGCGCATCTTTTTTTCCTTTGAATTTTTTTCGTAGGATGAATATTGTCGGAAATAAGGACGAAAAATGGTAAAATTTTGTTTTTCAAATTTCATTGCTTTTTAAAACATAAATCATCGTATCTTCGACAATTATTGGCGAATTTACTTCAAATTTGGCATGCAAGTCTATTTGGGTTCTGGGAAGACGATAAAATGATCAGAATGTAAAAATTTCCTAATTGTTCACTAATTTGTTAATGTAAATAAAGGCTTGTCAATTTTAGGTTAACTTACCTTCGTCGACAAAAAGTCTGCGGTGAACTTTCGAATTGAAAAAACTTCCAGCGAGACATTTGTTTATTAGTATATAAGGAAGTTTTTTGGAAAATATTAGATTGATTTAGTAAAAAATGTGGAAAATATTAAGGTTTAAAGACAGCGCGGAGAGCGCGACATCGAGTCGCGGCGTGCAAATATCACTAAACACCAACTTTATAGGACGTCAGTTGTTGAATTTGTTCTTATTACCTCGGTTATTACTCAGTACTTTATAAAAAGCATTAAATAAATTATTGGGATATAATTATAACGCTATGTTTAACATTATAAAAAACATAAAAATTCTATAAATAATAAAGAACTAGCAACAATTCGCGCGGCTAACTTTTTACTACATTTTATAAATAAAATTAGCAATTTTAAAAATAATAGAATTTGAAAACTTTCTAATTTAAATTTTTGTTGAAAACACTAAAAAAATTCAATTTTGGAGAAATTACAAATAATTGCAGAAATTCAACTACAGTGAGTTCTCGCGAGTCGTTCAATTCTCGAAAATTTTCAAGATCATAAAACTCACGAGTCGTTCAAAGCATAAGCCACGCCTCCAAGGCGATTTCAGGGATGTGTGAAACATATTTATCGCCCCGAAAGACACAATATTCAATGACTTTGGTCCGTTTAAATTACACAGCACTGAGCACCGGCGCGCGCATGCTAGAACTGATCAGCTGTTGAACGACTGGCGAGTTTGAACGACTCGTGAGTTGAACGACTCGCGAGAACTCACTGTATTTTCAAAGAAAAAAAATAATAATAAAATTCTTCTTATAAAATTCAACTATGTACAAAATTTGAAAAAAAATTTTGTAAAAATCCCGATTATCTTCATAAATAACAAAATTCTTTTCCAAAGTTTAATTATTTTTCTAAATGTCAAAGAAATTCTTGTCCTAATTTCAATTATTTTCAAAAATTTTTCTAATTTCAATTATTTTCAATATCTACTATTTTTAACAAAATTTCCCAAAAAATTCAATTATTTAAAAAAATTTTTAATAAAATTGCATATAAACATTTGGTTATTTTTAGAAATAATACAAATTTCACAGGAATTCAATTATTATTTTTATAAATAATAAATTTTTTTTAAGGAATTCAAAAGAACTTTGTTAAATTTTTATTAAATGAATTCCTGCGACGAATTTTATAAAATTCGTTTTAAATAATTGATATTTTTCGAAAAAAAAATGAAATTTTTTATATTAAATAATTGAATTCCTGTCAAAATGTTATTATTTATGAAAATAATTGATTTATTTCGAAGAAATTTATTAAAAATCTTGTATATTATTGAATTCCTGTGAAATTTTGTCAAGAATTTTATTAAAGTTTTTAAAAATAATTGAATTTCGAAGAAGAATTGTATTATTTATAAAGATAATTAAAATTTTGACGAGAATTTTTTAAAAATTTTTTAACATAATTGAATGTTGGAAAAGAATTTTATTATTTTTAAAGATATAATTGAAATGACCAGAATTTTTTTTTAATTTTTGAATATAATTGAATTTCTGCGAAAAATTTGATTACTTTTGAAAAGAATTGAATTTCTGGAATTATTGTAACTTTTCCCAAAATTCAATTTTTTTAGTATTTTTAACTAAAATTCTTTTATCAATCTAGTATTTATGAAAATTGTAAAAATGATTCATTAAATAATTTGTAAGTCATAATTTTATGATAGTTTTTTTATGAATTTTTAAAATTCAATTTTTTCCAGTACTTTTACTAAAAATCTCTGACTTTTCCCTGACTTCCCTGACTAATTTTGCTTTTCCTGACTTTTCCCTGAATTCCCTGACCTTTGGCAACCCTGAAAACATAAGTACTGACCTTGATATAAAATTCTAATTGCAAAAAATGCATTTTCTACATATGTAATATTTCATAACAAATATACAAAAAGTGTTTTCTAGTAGAGAAAATTTAAATTTTTTTAAATTTATATGTAGAGTTACAACCATTGCCGTTCAATTCGCCGAAGAAAGTTACAGTTGAGGATGAGGACATAGAGCTAGAACCTTCTGATTTTATTATAAGCCAGCCATCACAAAGTACATCTTATTCAGAAAAAGAGTCATCTTTTAAGGTTGATACAATTTCATTGACTGACATAAAGGGAAATGTGAATCCAGGTAACCCACTGTAACTTATATTATTTAAATAATTTTAATAAGGGTTAAATATTTATTAAAACTCAAATGTAGAATTATGCAAATTATTACAGACTATTTTTATACTATTATTTAAAGATTTTAATTTAAGATTACTCTCAGTAGGAATATACTTCTCATCTTGATAGGATTAAATATTTTGGGATCGCATTTTGAATGGTGATAGAGAAAGCTTTTAAAAGTTTTAAAAAATAGCGTTGCGTTTAAAAAGTTTTAAGAATTAAAATTAAATTAATCTTTAAAATTTTCCCAGGAGAGAAAACGCATTGGACAGTGAAAGAAACGAGGTTGTTAATGGAAACGTATTCTTGTCTTGAGAAATCGAGAAAAAAGCCAAGTTTAGGAATGGATTTTTGGAAACGGGTTGAAATGGAAATTTTGAAATCCAGTTGTACAAAAGCATTTAAACAGTGTGAGTCAAAGTGGAAGCTCATGATGCGAATGTATAAGAAAAATGTATTATTAAAGAAACAAACCGGTGAAGCACCGGTAACATGGGAATTCTTTGACGCCATGAATGAAATTATGTTTGAAAAACCTGAGATTAACCCACCTTCTCTGTCTTCTAGTATTGATGGATTCAGAACTAGAATAATGAAAAAAATACAAAATTTTTCTGACGACAGTGATAAAGAAGATGAAGATAAAGAAAATAAAGCTGTATCAAAGAAAGTAATTAAGAAAAAAAAGAATTATTTAAAGAGATCATCCTTTGATGCTTTTAGGGAAGAAGCCCAGCTGAGACATGAAGAAAATAATAAACGGAAAGATAAATTTTTATCCATTGTTGAAAACTTGATCGACATAAAAAAATAGTATATTTAAGCATTCATACTTTGTTCAGTTTTAGCATTTTTTACCATTATTGTATTTCAAAAAAATGCTCCGTTTTGCGCTAAACCGCAATTTTTCTTGATGTTATTTTTTAAACAAAGTTAAAGTCACATATGTGCAATCAATTACTAATTAATGTTTTAAATTTTTATGATTATTATTTCGATAAAAATTAGAATTTGTAAAGGTTAATTCTAACAATAAAAATTTGATCGTAAATAATAATGTTCAGTATTTTTATATAGAAAGAATTTTTTTATATTAGAAAATTATTTTTTTTAGAAAAGCATGATTTATATAAAAAAAATTTATGCAAGAAAGTATTTTTATACACAAAATAATTTTTTGTTCCAAATAATTTATTTTGCATTAATATTGAAAGATTATTGCACAAAAAAATTTTTTAAGAAAAAAGATTGAATTACAACAAATTATAATTACAATAGAACCAATCTCTAAATAGAAGTCCTCAGACTTCTTTTTCTTCCTTTCTCTCTGAAATTTGCAAATATTTTATTCAAGAAGAACACTATTTAGTGTTAATTTATATATTTAGTAATAATATGATATTGTAATTTAAATAATTTATTAAATTTGTCCACACGTTTACAATAATTTGTTACAAAACGATATATTTTATACAATTTGGGATTAAAAATTGTAAAAAATATATTTCATGATTAACTTTAAAATACTCTCACTTGTAAATGTAAAATATGCAACACTATCTTCTTTGATTATTAAACAAAACATCAGCTATTACACTGCGTTTTACATTTTCATCAAAAGGAAAATCATTTTCTCTTACTCCATTTAATAACGGGGCAACGTCATCATCATCATAGCTGTCGTTCAAATGATGTTCAAAATTTTCATCAATAAGTGCTTCGTCATTCATTATCAGACAAATGTTGTGCAGACAACAGCATGCTAAGATTATAAGTGCACCGTACTCTACATTTTGTAGATATAAATATTTTAACCGACGAAATCGACCCAAAAGTAGTGTAAAAACTCGTTCAATGATTTGTCGCGTTTTGGAGTGAATTAAATTGTAATTTAAGTCGACTTCACTTAAAAACCCATTGTCTTTATAGGGCGGTAGCAAGTTGTGTTGAATTGGATATGCCTTATCGCCAAGAATGTGTGTTTCTTCAGGGAAATATTCATTATATTGACGATTACTAACCATATTCAAATCGCATAAAGACCACACTCTAGCATCATGGGTACTACCACAACATCCAGCAAAAACATAGATAAATCGCATTTTTGCGTCACATGTCCTTGTAAAATTATTGAGTGATACTTATGCCTATTGATATAGCTATCAGGATTTTCGTGTGGCGCACTTATCTGTATATGGCATCCATCAACTGCGCCAATAACGCCAGGATGACCAGCTATTTTGCGAAATTCTCTTTCACTATTCGATACTTCTATCCCTCTTGGCCACTGTATGAAATCTTTAACCCGCGCACATAGGCAATTGGCTACGTCCAGCATACATTCCCAAGCTGTCGATTTGGCAATGCCAAATCGATCAGCTATTGATCTGCGTAAAACATTTTTTTATAAACAACTTTTTATAATTTCAATATATTATGTATTGGACAGAATTTAGATTCGTAAATTCAAAATTATTATTATTAGTCTTATTTCTTTATCTAATATTTAATTTCTCTTTAATGTCAGTTATATAAAATAATATTTCGAAAAGAAAAAGAAAGGTCATTAAAATGGGGATGTCTGCATGAAAAGGAATCATTTTGATACTACTAGACTTATTTAAATGAGCATATTTTCTATTAGATTTCGAAGATTTTGAATGGTCTTAGAACCCTGTAAATATAAAATACGGGAAGTTATTGAGAAGGTATAATTTAGAAATCTCAAGAACCAAATCTTAAGCTTTAGCTCCCACGCTAATAAAATATTAAAAATAGTATTATTTCGTGTTTTTAATTACGATATAGTAAACACAATATTTGACGTAAAACATTTTATAATTTATTTTTTGTCCAATATATAAGATAAACGCGAATTTTCGTGTATGTATAACAAGAAAATTGTAGCTTATCTGGGGGACATAAAATGAGAGTATTTTCAGCCCGATTCACAAAGTTTAACTATATTTTTTTTCATTTTTAATTTTGCAAAAAACGTTTTTTGGCCATAACTTAAAAAAAATATAGCACACCTATGAATGTTTTTCTTTAGTTTTGTAGTTTTCTCAGACGCATCTTTTCAGCACTCACTGAATTTTTTTTCTCCGTATTAGTCAGAGATATTAAACTTTTAAAAATATAAATTTTTGGAAAATAATACTTTTTTGAAAAATGTAAAAGTAACTTTTAAAGTATCATTACCAACTTATAGAGCATTAAAAAACGCTTCGATTGATCTATTTTTGAACAGTTTTGTCTTTAAGCTCAATAAAAATTATTCAGTATTTAATACTCAGTGCCTATTTCTCTTTGAGTTTACTCCACCTTTTAAAATTATCTTCTAAAATAAAGTCAGTAAAATGGTTCCTTTTTATGCAGACGACCAAAATTATTAATTAATAAAAAAATGAAAAAGAATTCTTTCTTTTTCATAAATAAATTAAGTAATAATAATAAATTTAGAATTCCATTAATCAAATTAAGATAATTATAGATAAATTAAATTAAAGCTTATTAAATTTCGCAGAAACGTAGCCCAGTATGAAGTATCAGGGTTGCCACGCTTTTGCTCATTTCAAATTCCCTGACTTTTCCAGGTTTTCCAGGTTAAAAAACAGAATTTTTCCAGGTTTTTAAAACTACATTTATATTTTACAAAATTTTTAATTCTAACCTTTTTGAAATTAAACAACTTATAAAAAAATATTATAAAACATGAAAATATCGATCACTCCGAGTCTTCGTCTCGGAACAATCGCTATCTTCATGTTTTATAATAATTAAAAATGTTGGACTGATAAAATCATCATTTTATACCTATTATAAAAATATCGTTACTGTAACTTATTCAAAATTACTTTTATTATTTTAATTCCATTATTGTTTTCCACAATTTTTAACTAAAATTCTTCTTTAAATTAATTACTATTAATAATTTCAGAAAAATTTCTTTCCACCTTTTCAAATCCTTTTGTTTACAATTCAATTTTACAAAATTTAATCGATTATTCGGAAATTCTTCAATCAAATATAAATTAGAAAATAAAAACTTGAAATAACTTCAAAAAAAATTCAATTCAACTTTTACAAAAAAATTAAATCTACACAATTTTAAGTTAAAAGTATGAAAACTTTAAACATTCAAAGATTATAATTTGAGACCTGCTTTTCAAAACTCAATTATTATCTAAAGTTTTAACTAAAAATTCATATTTGAATCAATTATTATTAGAAAATTCTACGACAATTCAATTATTTAAATACAAAAAAATAATTTAATGAAGAATTGAATGTTTTTTAAAATTCAACTCTCATTTAAAGAATTTTATCAACAAATTTTTAAATAGGTGATTAAAATTCTTTCGACGAATTTCAATAAAATTTTTAAGAAAATTTCATTTTTCGAGAAATTAGATTAAAAATAATTATGAATGTCTGTAAAAAAATTTCATTGAATTGAGAAAAGTTTTTGAAAATAATTGAAATTTTGTCAAGAATTTTATTAAAATTTTTTTAAATAATTGAAATATTGCCAAGAATTTTATTAAAATTGTTGGAAATAATTGAATTTCTAAGAAGAATTTTACTAATTTGGAAAATAATTGAATTCTTGAGAAGAAATTTGATTAAAAAGTCTTTTTAAATAATTGAATTTCTTTGATGAATTTTAATAAAATTTTTAAGAAAAATTTCATTTTTCGAGGAATTTGATTAAAATTGTATCAAAAATAATTGAAGTTCTGCAATAAGTTTTATTATATAAGAAAATAATAATTGAATCCCTGTAAAAAATTGTATTACATATTTATAAAAGTAATTGAATCTCTGTTTATACATAAATTGAATATTTTTGAAAATTTTTTTCAAAAATAGTAGATATTGAAAATCATTGACTGGAGGAGAATTTTTGAAAAAAAATTGAATTTGTTAAAAAAAAATTCATTAAAATAATTGAATTTTTGCGAAGAATTTTATTACTTTTGAAAATAATTGAATTTCTTTGATGAATTTTAATAAAATTTTCAAGAATAATTATTCAATTCCATTAAAATTGCATTAAAAAAAATTGAAATTTTGCGATAAGTTTTATTATTTATGAAAATAATTGAATTATTTCGAAGAAAAATTGTAAAGGAAACTCTTTTAAAATTGAATTAAGAAAATTGAAATATAAAATAAAGAAAAATTAAATTTCAAGAATAAGCACAATAACTTTAGAAAACAATAATTTTCCAGGATTCCAATAAAAATTCCCTGACTTTTCCAGGTTTTTTAAGGTTTATAAAAATTTTTATAAAAATTCCCTTACATTTCCAGGTTTCCAGGATGCGTGGCAACCCTGAGAATTTAAGACGTTAATTTAAATATTTACATGTAAGGCTAAATTAGGAGCAAGTTTTATTCCAATTTGAGTACATTTTCTTTAGTTAGAGTACTTCAATAAAATTTTCTTTTCTTTTATAAATAGGAGACAAGAAATGAATATTTTGCAATAAAATTTAAATATACATGTAAATAACATACCTATACACTTCTTGGTTTGCAAATGTCCAAATTTCTACAGCTAACTTTTTCATCACTGGGATATTTGAATACACAGTATTTAAACGTGGTCCCAAAATTAAACCTAGTTCTTCAAATGTTGTTCTGGACATTCGAAAATGTGATTGGAAATCTATTAAAAATTATATTATTATATTAAAGTCTATCATGCAAGGTTGCTACATTTGGTTTACTTCTTTTAATCATTTTAATCTTTTAAGAAACACAAAAATATTTGTCTCGAAATAAGTTTATTATTACCAGACAGAGAGTACATAGGAACGATTAATTCGAAGAAATTTTCGTTCTTTGTATGATTCTCTCGTTCTTTCGCAATAATTATTGACACATTATCATCATTTTCCTCTTCTTCATCGTCAAAGATGACAGCGACGGCCGTAGTAATCAGCAATCCAATTTGATAATTATCCATAACTATAGTTTTAAAATGAAGTTCAATTAGTTCAATTATCGATTTTTAACAAAAATGCAATGCATGAAAAGCCGAAAATAAATTTTAAAGTTAGTGATCAAAGAAGTTTGATTTAATAATGCCTAATATTCAATTCAAATTCGATAAATTTATGTTTAAAGATTTTTAAAAACAGCTAACAATTATTCAAATTTCTATAATCTAAACTTAAAATCTTCAGTGACTCCAATCTTAGTTTCAAAAAAGACCAATAATAAATTATTAAGCTTTAGGGCCTTTCATAAAATTCTAATGCTTATTAACTAAAATTTCAAAGTTGTAAGAGTTTTTTGTATTAATTAGTGCAAGGAAAAAAGTTTTATGAAAAAAGATAAAGAAGTGCTTTTAAAGTAAACAAATGATTTTTGAGTGAGAGTATTATAAAAAGAACGATTGTTTAAATAACATTTAATAATTATTAAAAATTTTAATTTAAAAATTTTTGATTGTCATTAACTTGAAACAATTTTATATTTATTTTTTAAATTAACATTTAAAAATTTAAATAAATATTGAAGAGTTTTTAATTAATTAAAATAATCATACTACTGTTGAGTTTAATACTCGCTGTAATTGTGTTTACAATTATAAAAAAATACAAATAGTTGTAATACACTTTTTGTAATTTTCTCCATGTAAATAATTTTTTAGATATAATTTAAAAGAAAATGTTCATTTTTTGATTAAAGCGTTTCAAAAATTTTAAATTTATAAGAGAATAAGAATTTATGACTTAGTGACTTACATAAAAAAGAAAAAATATTTAACCTAATTATAATTTGAGATATCATTTATAATTGAATGACGTCATAATTTATTAACTAATTGTAAGATTTTTTTAAACAAAATTTTCAATTCGTTTTATTGAAAATAACTTTGACGACGAATTGCAAGAAAACATTACAAAATTTTATCTCTTTCATTTAAAATGTTTTTGTTTGCACATACCTTCTGCCATTTGTTTTTAACTTTCGTGATCCAAATCCGTGATCTCTCTAATGAAGCAGATTATGATCTCGGACTTCTATTGTCAATTGTTTGGCGAGTTTTATTAAATTTAAAAAAAAATTAATTATTTTCTGTTACCATTCTTCTGGAACTTAATGCACACTTCACATACTGTCGCAATTTTTTTATAATGCGCCAATCAAAATGAGGGTATCGTAAAATTCACCAATCACAAAAAACAACAGAACGCTAAAGTTATAATTTTCATTTGAAAATTACACAGGCACACAAAAAAATAAAAAAGTCAAAACCCAGAGGTCACACCCCCCTATCCCCATGTTTTTGGGGTCGCTGAAACCGAATAAGACCATGGAAATTTTTTTTCATCCGCCATTTTCCCGCTACAACCCCCTTACACCTGCTCCCGGGGGTTGGAATTTCAGTTTAAAAAAAAGTGGAGTAGGGTGTCTATTCCTATGTTTTTTGGGTCGCTAAAACCAAAAAAGACTACCAAAAACAAATTCTTCCCTCCCTTAATCCCCTACAACCCCCTTAACACCCGAAAGATGGGGGGTCGAAATTCGAATTTTCACGAAAAGTCGATTACGGTGTCTAAACCTACGTTTTTTGGGTCGCCGAAACCAAAAAAGACTACCAAAATCAAATCCTTTCCACCCTCAATATCCTACAACCCCCTGCAATAATTTTTGATAATTAATATTTAATTTTCAATCTCCCAAAAATCGGTTCGTTTTATTTGAAAAAAATTATTACAGGGGGTTGTAGGGGATCGGGGTGGAAAGGATTTGATTTAGGGAATCTTTTTGGTTTCAGCGACCCAAAAAACGTAGGTTTAGACATCGTAATCGACTTTTCGTGAAAATTCGAATTTCGACCACCCACCTTTCGGGTGTTAAGGGGGTTGTAGGGGGTTAATGGAGGGAAGAATTTGTTTTTGGTAGTCTTTTTTGGTTTTAGCGACCCAAAAAACATAGGAATAGACACCCTACTCCACTTTTTTTAAAACTGAAATTCCAACCCCCGGGAGCAGGTGTAAGGGGGTGGTAGCGGGAAAATGGCCGATGAAAAACAATTTTCATGGTCATATTCGGTTTCAGCGACCCCAAAAACATGGGGAAAGGGGGGTGTAACCTCTGGGTTTTGACTTTTTTATTTTTTTGTGTGCCTGTGTTATTGAGTACCACTGAGTGATCCGGATCATGATCTGTGGATATGCCGAAAACACCCTTTATTTATAATAAAAAAAAACAAATGAATTAATAATTTTTTAAAACTATTAATTACTTAGCAACAAAAATTGTTTTTACGAAAACAGAATTATTATTACGAATTATTCTTAGTCTTTGAAAAAAGGTTATTTCTCGATTTTTAAAAATGTGGGTGCTGGTGCAATGGAAAAAGCAGCGTACTGTGACTATAATGGAAGAAACGGAAGAAATGATTGAAAAAGAAGAGGAGGAAGAGTTAGACATAAATTATAATGGGAGGACATATAGAGCAATACTTAAGAGGAGAAGCGGTAAGAATTCATTTATATAAATCTAGGTTATTTTAATTATATTACATTCTATGTATATACATTCAAATTTTATTTCTAGAAGACAAATCATTCCTCAATAGCTTAAATGTGACAAAAGATGGAAAGGTGACCAGCAAAAAACTGAATCCAGGAAAAAAAGAAATAGATCCGAATGCACTGATTAAAAAGAAGCATGCAGCTGAAGGTCAACTGGAATTGAACAAGAAAATATCCAATTTACCAAGATTATCAATATCCAAATCAAGACAAATCCAACCTGCATTGGTTCAAAATAATAATTCAGGACAAACTGATAAAACACTTGGTAATATAAATTTTGTTTGATTTTAATTTTCGTATATTTTATTAACAATATATTTATTATCATTCATTTTTATTAAACTTACCGTAATATAAAACTAAAAATTCAAAGATTAATTCGAAAAAATTGACTAAAAAGAATAAAATAAATTCTATTCTCTTTTATTTACTATTCTAATTTTTTTAATTAAAATGTTTATTATTATAAAATGATAGAAATATTATTAGTGTTGTAAAAAAATTCAAAAAATGATTATTAATTAAAAAATTGTCAGATATTACCAATTATATTAAGTATAAAAATTAAAATTAAATAATTGTATTTTAAGAAAAAAATTATTCAATTTAAACCCGTTGTTTATTAGTTAAAAAATTAATTTTTTTAGTTCCTCGTCAGTCGATTTTGAAACGAAAAACTGATTATCATGCTGCGCCAATAAATGTACATTCAGATGTGAAATTTAAGAAAACATCTTTAATCAACGGGGAGGATTCAAAAAATGATTCTACCTCAGAAGAGGCAACCTCCGATGTAGACGTTTCTTTTTTCAAAAAAAAGAAACTAAAAAAGGATGAGATTAATGGTAAAATAAATAATTTTTTTATCGTTTATAATTTTCTTATCAGTTATTTTTATTTCTTTTAATTTAATGTAGAGTATTTTCAACTATAATTTCAATAAAATTGATTGTACATATTTCAAA